CTGGGCAGCCTAGCTGAACGCCTAGTCAGGGTTCCCTCAGTGTCCCTCCGGGAACTAATGCGGATCATTGGAATGATGACCTTGGTTCGAAGGGTATTTCCCCAGGCTGCATTAAGCAGCCGCCCGGTACAACGCTTGTTGCTACAACACCGAGCTAACCTACGGGAACTAAAACTACGGGTTTTGACCTCTGACCAAGCGAAGGAAGCCCTGCCCTGGTGGTCGTCACTGGCCCTTGGATGCACTCGCCGCAGCTATGACTCTGGTAACAGATGCCTCCCTCCAAGGTTGGGGAGCGCATCTATTGGAAGAACAAGCCAAAGCCCTGCATTAGTTGCGGGACCGCCATATCAACCGGCTCAAACTGAAAGCACTACCACACTTTCTACCCATAGTTCGAGATTACAGAGTCCTGCTCCCCAAAGGCAATACAGCGGTAATCTCTTTCAACAGGGGGGGGGGGGGTCCCCATCGCTGTATGTCCTGGCAGAGCAAATACTTCTTTCGTGCCTGGAATACAATGTGCAGCTAACCACACACCACCTTCCAGGGGTGAGGAACAGTCTGGCAGACGCCCTTTCAAGGCGGCTCCATCTCCAGAACACGGAGTGGCAGATACCCCAATGGGTAGCCTTCAGGCTGTTTTAGCTGTGGGACGGTCCAAAGATAGACTGGTTTGCCACACCCCGGAACGCCAAGCTCCTGACATATGCAACACTCCTGCTGACTCAAGGAGCCTGGGCCAGGGTCATTTTGCTGATCCCATGGACCCACATACATGTAGATGTGTAAGCCTTCCCTCCCTTCCTGCTAGTTCACCGGGCACCGGAGAAAACTTTGACAGGTGCACACCTGCATATTGACATTGGTTGCACCCAATTGGCCAACCAAGGCCTAGTCTCCACTTCTGTTGGAAATGTTAGTCAAAACACCAGTAGTTCTTCCTGACCTACCGGACCTACTGTCCCAACCGGATGGCGCACTACCAACGAGCCCAGCAGTGTATCACTTACATGCATAGAGGCTCTCAGTAGACTCGCACAGATGAAAGGTTTATCTGAGTGGGCTGCCAATGTCCTGGCCAGGGTGAACAGGGATTCCACCAACGCTGTCTACATTTCTAGGTGGAGAACATACACTGATTGGTGTAGCGGAAGGGAGATTGATCCATACCATCCCTCTATTGGCCAGGTAGCAGACTCCTTCGTCCACCTGTTTGACGAAGTGGGTTTGTCCTACGCAGTGATCGTTGGCTACAGGTCAGCCTTGTCCCCCACCATTGAGAATGCTTTGGGAACAAGACTAGGCGATTGTCCTGTTATTAGGAGACTATTTACTGCTTTCCATATCAGAGGCCGAGACCCCGTACAAGGTAACCACCTAACTAGGATTTGTTGGCTGTGTGCTCTCCGATCAGCACCACTCAAAATTTTGACGTGGAAAACAGTCTTTCTACTCAGGTAGGCGTCGGTCAGAACTGGGGGCATTGTCCTTCTCGGAGGAGTGTACCGCCCTTATGGACAATCAAGTTGTGCTAAAGACACGAAACGGGTTTCTCGCCAAGAACCAAATCCCAGGACACGATCCTCAGCCGATCGTCATCCCCCGGCTGTCAAATATTGTCGGCCCAGAGGGTCAGAAGGAATTGCTTCTCCGCCTGGTATGAGCACTAAGTTGCTATGAAAACCGTACTAGGGATTCAAGACTGGGTGCCAAGCACATGTCTTTGTGTTACGGCCCAGACAGGCAGGATAGGCCGGCCTCCGACTTCCATCGTCAGGTGGATTACTGTGACTGTATTAGAGGTCTATAATACTTCAACTTCCTTGACACAGAGCTTGCAGAGACACCAAGTACGAGCGCATAAGGTCCGTGCGATTGCTAACTCACTCGTGCTAGCGTCAGGCACGCCCCTTGAACATATACTGAGGGCAGGCTTCTGGAGAACGTAAACGTCTTTATCAATTACTACCTAAGAGATACCCAATCCATTGAGGAGGGTCTTTTTAGGTTGGATCCCGCCTTAGCGGGTCAGACTCTGGTTGCTGACCCAGCCCGAACGACCACAAGGGTCCCTGCGCATAGGCTATAAGTCGGTCTCAGCGTCTTTGCGGACAGATTTTTCTACCCTCTGCACTCCTTGGAAGTTTCCAGGTCTCGCTTTTCAACCTATGTCCTCATTCAGAACTGTTTTGGTCTTTACTTCGAAAGCATACTACCCCCTGAATTGGGTTTGGGTCTAGCTTTTTTGGGCACACCGAACCCAGTCACCGCAGCAGCATTTTTGGCAAAAAAACAAGTTTGATTGCTTTGATACTGTACATATTGTTCATTTTTTTTAATGATATCTTCTGTTCTTAATTGAAATGTGCATTGGAATGGGCATTTCTAACAGCGGAGCTATCTCAGCCGAAAGGCTGCTTGTATTTACACACGATACACGCAGTTCTGTTATCAGTAAAGTCACCAGATTTCAGTCACTTTCATAGTTTAGTGTAACATACACGTAATTTTTACTTCAATTATAGCTTTGCAATACAGGATTTGTCATTGACAAAGATTTCACTTTTTATTAATGAATGTGCTGTTTGTTATTTTGCAGGGCTAATGACTCAATACTACTAGCTATGTATGAGGCTGTACATTTGAACAGAAATTTTATCACAGTATTAACACATGTATGTATAACTCAGTAACATATCTAATTGTAACAGCAAAACTAACCAATGTTTGGAGAATGTACACATATCTCTGCCTTTATCATAAGATATGCATTCATTTTACAGAATCACACTGAGTCAACTCCTAGCCCACCAAGTCCAACACAAAATAAACAACATGCTGTAGACGCTGTGGCCCAAGGTAACGGTAATGCATGAAAACTTTATTATTATTTTCAATGATTAGGGTTTATAGTTTAATTTCGGTAATTTTCATTTCATGGCAAAACTGAAAAATTATCAATTCTATGCTATCTTAGCAAGAGTTAACTTACTATTTTACAAAATGTTGTAGTAGTGAAAAGTACACGCTTTCAATGATGACATTGGTGCTGTGTAATCAAGACTAATAATACCGGTAATAAAACTCTGAGAAATATGTTGCTGTGATGTGCACTACAAAATATTTCAGTTTTTGATTGCAATCATCATGATGTGCTACAGCAGCATTTCACCAGTCACACTTAAATCATGATGGAAACTCGGCTTGCTTATTATTTAATTGTGCTATTTGAGAACCCTAATTTTCCCTAAATCAATTTTCCATTTTATTAAAACACTTTCAATAAAACAAAAAAAAATTACTAGACCAACAAAATATTTAATATGCATTTTTATTTTAATGATAATTGTCTTTTTATGTAAAAAATAAGCGTGCAAATAATTTGCATTTCTATAATTGTCAATCACTATAACAGGTGTTCTGAATGTTAACATGCATGTTATACCAGTAACCTCTTTTGTTATGGTATTTTTCAGTTGCCTGCTTTTTTATGGGTGTTTGGTTGGTAAGAATGTCTAATGCCTCTGCTTGTGTCTTTCCTAAACTTCTTATGTCACATGTAGATAACCCAAATATTGCCAAACATTCATTTGGTAGATTGGATGTTGCAGAGGTATTCATTTGGTAGATTGGATGTTGCAGAGGTATTCATTTGGTTTGACATTCCATGAAGGTTTTCA